AATAACCAAGGTCCTGTATATACTATTGACTGCCAGTTGGAAATTGACATTAGGGTACCCTATAACGCTGCTTGGTTAGTTTAGAAACGTAAGAGGTTTCATACTTTTGTGCTTTCTCTCTATAATATAGCACCTGATACCACTTCTTTATTTGAGGAGTTTATATAGCTAATGATTGCTTGTTCATGTTTATTACATTTTGTTATGGTTGGTTGACCAAGAAAAGTCCTTTATTGTTTTTGAAGGGTGGTTGTCCCTTCAGTATTAACATCTGTGGAGCTATCTCTAGTTGGTTGGATATGTGTTCCTGGGATTGGTCCTCAATGGAATGGTCTTAGAAGGCATTGTAACATGCTTAAGGGTGACACTGTCTATTGGACAATAACACCCCTCTAAATTATTAGAAAAATCACTGCGTATTAACATTATGCGCACTACTTTAATGGAGATAACCACAATGGAGACACTCAGTTTTGATCTCGGTACATTAGATGAAATATTTGGAGATATGTCCGAAGATGAACTTGAAACGCCACCCCCTTGTCAGGTAACAGCTACAAACAACAAAATATTAAAAAATCTATTACAAAAACATAAATTTTGTTTCAAAAAGTACTTTTAAAAAAATGAAGTGAGAATTTTAGGGGTTTTTTTTGTGTGTGTCTATACTCATACGGCTACTATAGCAACCAGACGATAAGAGAGCCAAATGTAACATGAGCAGCCAGTTACCCCGCTACGTCACGACGTTTTCATTACGTCAAAATTGATTTCTTTGGTTTTTACGTCACTAAAACTGATTTGCAGTGAGACGAATTTTGAAGTTTACACAATAAAATAAGTTCTTTTAAAATTCTAAAAAATGGCATGTTACAATGTCGATAAACACCCCAATAAATGCGAAACAGGAGGTGTTTATCTCCTAAATGTATTACACAACAAGGGTATGTTTTTTAAGCAACACAACATGATTTATATCCCAAAATTGTAAGTGACAAGGAGTGGGATTGTGGACATTCTTTCACCACTGAAATGAATGAAATAAGATATACTATGTTAATCATAACCTTGTTGAGTGGATGTAAAAAACCCATGTCTTCCATTTCTACCTGGGGAGTCTAATAGCTCAGTAAGATGCTGGCTCATCAGGAGGTCCAGGCTTGGCTGAGAAAGTTCCCCGGGACTTTCCGGCATGGTGTTCCCCCTTGTCAGTGGTGCAGGACCGAAGGTCTGACAAAGAACCCTTACTTGGAATTCAATATAAGAGAAGGCCGTAATGTTGCTGTCCAGGCAAACTTGTCCCCATAGCAGTGTATTCCATAAATCTGTCTTCATTAGCCAAGTTGGACGTTAATCCCATTTCATTTCACTACCTGTTTTGTTAATTATTAAATGATATGTACTGTATGACCTTGTAACAGAAAGAAAGTAAGCCAGGAAAAAGACATGTAAAGTGATAAAATATATCGCTAAACAGCAATCAAGTTAAAGTATAAATAAAAGATCGAAAGAATCTGTATTATATCTATGCCATGATTCCCTTTGAAGTTTCAGTCCCTACTCTCAGAGGGCGGTTAAACAATAATTAATCATGATTTCTACTTATATTTATCTATTGCCATATATTTACCTCAATGTTATGAGATAGAGTTGTTCATTCTGGCTAGAATATTCGATATCGCTTCTCATGTCGCCAAAGAAGTACTGTTCCAGATTGGGTTGAGTCGAAATGTTTACCCAAATTCAAGATACGAGTTAGTTCGTAAATTGTTGCCAGAAAAATAACAGATAGTTAAAGATGCATTATGTAAGAGCAAAATTACCAGTCTTTATTTTGGCTTCAAATGTTATATAAATTATTATTTGAAGATTTATTAACGACAAGCCTATAATCAACTCTGTAGACAATTAAATGGCTGAGATTTAAATGGATTAGAACACCTGCGAGATTTAAAAATTTAACGATAAAATAGATAATCAAGAATTAGTATTTATTGTCAAGTACCATTGCCAAGATAATAAACAGTCTACACTACATCTTGACAAAACTTCAAACACTTCTAACTTAGCTCAGAATAATGTAATTTGAATGAAATTTTCAATATATCCATTTTGCATAATCAATTTTTTCAAACTTTTACAGAACCTGTCTAGATATAGTGCCTACATTCATAAACTTTTTTTTGTTGATACCTGTAACTGTGAAACAAACAAGGCCTAATTATCCAATTTACTATGGGGTTACCAAAGGTTAAATTTGAAAATTTATGCAACTTCAGCATGTGCATTGTTTTTATTCACTAAGTTAATGTTTACATTAGATCACATTACAGCAAGCGGTCAGCAAAACCTTTCAGTCAACAGAAAATCTTATATTAATGCCTTAAGAAAATCCATTAATGTTCATTAAAACATTTAATATGGTAACTCGATACTCCACCTGTTTCACAGACGACACTTGCCATATTTGGTCAATAAAATGGCAGCAACATCTGTCAGGTGACTAAATAGAAATGATCCAATGTGATTGATCTGACAAATCTATTGGTCAGAAAAATCAATTTTCATTCAAATCTCTTAAAGAAAACTTTCAAGTGTTGTGGTCTAAAAGGTTATGAAAAATGGTAACGGATGTTTTGTTCTTGGTGACCTTAGGGTAAACAAATGTAAAGAAAAAGTTTAGTTATTGTAAAGGTAAAATCATTTATGAATTATGAATGGTGGATTTTGAAACATCCAATGAAACATGATGGATTATGGTATTAAAGTAGTTATTTTAACTATAAAATGTTGATGGTTTAGTGTCAAGTTAGTGTTTGTTTATAATGGTTGAAAACTTCACGAGGACAGCAATAATCAATCTTGCATCTTTTGTTGGATCCCATTCTAGTAGTTTGATAAATTTCCCTTGGGTTTTAATCCTTGCAAAAAAGAAATTGACAGTGTATAAACTCCAATCGTTTCCAGATGTAAAACCAGCCTTGGCTGAAAACCCTGACAACTTCTCTTAACCAATAATTAACAAGGAGTCAGAGGTGGAAGACGCCGAAGTTTGTGCATTTCTAAAAGACCTGTTCTGGTCCCAATAGGACCGGTGGCTGGAATCAACTGAACATTTAGCATTACATCCTTGGATAACCTTGTCAATGGAAACACTTCCAACAATTAAAGCTACCTTTGTTCGCTTCGTGGATGTCCATTCTTTTAACTTTCAACAATTATTGTAATATTGGTTATTTTGTTAACACTTGTCAACTGTGCCCTTTTATTCTGAAACATGACATATTAAGGGTCCACATCAAAGGGTCTAATATCAAGCAAATTTCAATATATGTAATTGTATGTTTTGATATCTGAGACAAGTGTAGACATTGATATTTTGTAATTGAGTTTGTGTGAGAGTAAATTTGGATAGTATAACTGGCTAGATGGAGAGAGAAATATGAAACTGATAAGTATATTGACCAACTCTTAAACGTTGTCTATCTTAGAATTACGCGATTGTTCTATGAAAATCGTAGAGTTCAGATCTTAGTAAGTCATTTAGTTAACCCTACCATCTATGTACTCTTTGTGTATTGTCAAGTATAATGTTTGATTTATTTTGCAAATATATCAACATTTGAAATTGATATTACTTTAAAAAGAATGTTTAAATGAAGTATATTTGTCATAACACCAGACACTTTAATAGTAACAGAAACTGAGACCAAAACACATCAACCAGAAGGAATTGTATTTAACAATAGCTGATGGTGTGCCTGACATTGCCAGTTCCTGTCTGGACTTCTATCTGATGTTCAAATTTAGAAATTGTACATTGATGTGCACATAAAAGAGCTTTGGACAGTTGGAATTTGATACAAGAGTAGACTGTAGCTCAGATGTCTGACAAATTTCCCTGATAGCACACTGTATAGCATAGACCACTTTTCATTAGCCCAGTCGGTGCAGAAGATTAGGACATTACACCCCATTTCATGAATGAATAAATTATTGTCTCGTTTGTAAAGTTGAACCTTTTGGAGAACTAAAAGCATTGAACGACATTGTTCATTTCATTTTGATCATTTGGCAAGGTTATTTATTTGAAAACTTTACGGAAATTCATTTCATAATGTTATTCTAAATGCATTGGTGAATTCAATCAATAAGAATATTGTGAAAAATGCTCTCGATAAAAGTTTCTAAAAGGCATGGTCTGTAAAAAAAATGTCATTGAATTTATCATTTTTTAAAAAGGTTAAATTCGGAGGAAAATAAATGAAAGAAAAACAGATTTAAAGAGGTGATAAAGGGGAAAATTAAAGTGACAAATATTTAATGGAGCAGGTTGGACGATTTTCTATCGATATTGCATGCCTGTCATAATGAATTTAATCTGAAACTGACACATTGTTTGAAGTAAGAATTATTCAAGCCAATGAATATTCACTGAAACTTGATAAAGGCAATAGCATCTAAAGTTAAAACTCTGGGTTCGGGATGATTGGAGATCAGCGAAAGTGTTGATTAATCCACCGTTTTGTTTGTTCGAAGTTCATTATCTGTAATTTATTTGACAATTCAAAATGGCAGTTTTACAGGTTTTTTGGCAATTGGCATAGAAATTTATAATCCGGAATAGATGTCAATATTGTCAATAAAGGTGAAAAAGAACAAATCTGTTTCTACCATAATCAGTGGTGGGTCTAAATTCAACTGGCTATTAAAAACTCTTTAAAAGAATTTAATGGTCTCTCTAACAGGTTTCATTTAAAGACCTGGTGCTTCATGGGAATTAAAAGGGGAACCATATGGTGTTACAGCCCCTTTTTCAAGGATCACTGACTGTACATTTTCTTTTGTTATCCCTTAACTTTGATGATTAAAAAGAATGAACATAAAGTGTACTTTTTAAAGATAACCCACGATTTGTCTCCCGTGATTTGCCTCATGATGAGAAATCAGGTTATGTAATGTCACTTCAAAGTCTTTTTTATGACTCGTATTCGACCAACCTTTCCTTTGTGTTGTATTCAACCAAGATCAATGCCCCTGTAAAAGAAATAGAAATCATTTATGACACAAAACAACAAAGTCTTATGATAAATGTTATTGGAACTAATTACAAAGAGGAACTAAAATGAAAAATTTTGCATGAAATATACATGATAGTCATAAATTCGTTGTCATATTTAAACATCTCCCTTCCTGTCAAACTGATATTAATTTGTTTCCTTAAGTTTCTCAAATTTCCCAGAAATAGAAGCTGTGATGTAACTTAATTACAAGTGAATAATTTCTAATCTGATTCACACATTTTTTGTTTTAAAAAACATCCTGATGATTCATTATTGCTTTAAACAAAGAAATTTTCATTTTAACTTTTTATAAAACAATGAATATTATCAATCAGATTATATTTATTGTGATAATCAAGAAAATTCTAAATTAATCATACTTCATAATGTCCAATTCAATTAACACTGCATGATAATGAAAAACATGAGGGAGAAAAAAATGAAAGCCAGACTAAAACAAAACATTTCAATAATTTATTCATAGTTTTTGCACGGATATCAGAACTTTGCTAAAATGTGATTTTGAAAAAATAGTGAATAACTAACGTGACCAAATGTTGAAGACAGTATAATCAAATACAGATTGGCAGATAAGTGGCCAATCATAAGATACGAACGTTATCTGTCCAATTCCAAAGAAAATATAATGATACATAATTAGCAAAAAGATCAAAACTAAATACTCAAGATACCATATCATTAAATTAACAAACATATTTACAGATCGTTGATTCATGATAATTTTGCAATAGAATTTGATAAAATGGGCATTTTTGGGCAATAGCCAAGCCATGCAACAGAACATTAATTTAACTACTGACCCAAACGCATTTAATTCATAAAAGTTTGTTTTTATTTTGCACTTTGACGAAATTTGGGATTTGACGATGATGTATGTATAGATGTAGCTGTGGTCAAAGTCTCAAAATTACTGTCAAAGTACCCATTCATTAATACTTTCTTTCCATTGGTTATGGATTAAAATTGAGATTAACATGTCTTATAAGCGTGACAAATAACCAACAGAATACTATACAACAACTGTTATTATCGTCTAGCACTCTTTAGTTCGTCTCTGTGATGAGACAGAAATTTCACAACCAGAGTTAGTTATTTTCCCACCTGAGGTGTTGGCTTTCACCCTAGGGCTGTAGCTACCTAGGGAGGGGATGACAGACTTCATAGGGTGCATGCCTAACAGCAAAATATTCCTGCTGAGCTGCTGTCAACACTTAATTTGGTGGAAAAAAAAGGGATTGTAAGACTTTGTTTATGGTTGTGGATATGTGTGACTTGACCCAACACCGATTATTGTGGTGCAAATTTATTGACTGATGGATAAAATGAATTCGGATACTCTGGGGTTGAATTTTAGATTATAGACTTTATTAAACCTATCTATTCCCAGGATCAACCTAATTCTTGAAAGATAAAAAAGATTAAATGTCCACTCAATTAAGTCATTTTGGAACTGATATGATCTATTTTCATTTCAAATATTTGCTTTCCAACTTGTTTTTAGCAGTAGGAGGAAACCCTAGAGAATAAGCAGGTGATACCTACGCCCTTTAACTTAAAGCATCGGATAGAAACCACACTTGCATTGATGACAGAAAACTTAAAGTGCATCCATTAAGCACCCAACCATCCAATAAATGCTTGTGGACCTGTCAATCTTTTAAGATTTTACATAAGACATACACAGATTCATCACACTCTGCCTCTGAGATAGGTGACAGTCTTACAAAGACTTTACAAGATGTAAACATACTAACTGTATCATCATCATCGCCACCAAATCTTCAAGCTTGATGATGGCAGAAATACAAGATATAGACAATCATTCCTAACACTTTATCTTTAACAGTATTAGATAATAAGCTTATCTTGTAGCAATCACATCCTGTTCTACAGGAAACTTTCCCATGCAATATCCCTGATGCTTTAGGCATTACTTCCCTCTTTTGTGGACTTACAACTAGATGGCCGGCTGCTCTAACCGCAAGCCTTCCTCCATTGAAGTATTGTTTAAATATTGTTGACTGAAGGCTTTGTCTGTGCCCGCACCATATTGGGGGTATTGATGCTAGGGGCTGCATGTTTTTGAGGCATTGTTTACCAAGTCTGTGAGCAGAAATATGACGTAAGCGTACATCCTGTCATCTCCCATGTTTCACCGAACCACGTCCAATTAAACCGGCATCATGCTAAGAGATTATAGCCATATTACTGTATGAAATCATAAAAATTTATTTATTTTTAAAGGCATGGGGATATGAGCCTGGGGGAATTCAAAATATTGGTAATAATGCTGGCATTGTTCTGTACTTCTGTACCCAGATCCCTAAATGTTTGATGGGGGGGGGAGGAAAATGCTTTGATATTTTCAGTTAAATTGAACAGACCTCTGATCTTGATCAAAATTAAAATGGTTGTTTCTTTTGATTTTATGTTAATTTTCTTTGTGGAATGATACAGTAATCTGTCTTGGGTTAAAATTCTATTTAACGTACACTCAACACGAACTAGGTCATCGTGGACATAAGGTTCTATGTATAAAGTCATGGAGTTTTAAGGTATAAGATTTTGTTGTCCACCATTTGGACAGTAAACCAAATATTAATTGAAAGTAGTTAACATGCATATTTCTTCTTAATCTCTCAAAACAAAAATCTTAATCATATGGAACTGGCCCTCTTGTCTCATGGAGGAAGGGGAGGGTCTGGCATAGAGAAGCGATGTCATTTGAATGATACGAAAAAGAGGTTCCCCCCCCCCCCCCCTTGGACGTTAAACCCCATTTCATTTCTAACAGAACGGATCAATCCAATGCAATATTCTATTCTGACCATAATCAAAGAGCTTTAACTCCTTTAATCCCAAATAAATCCATTTAATTTTACATCAGAGCATATTTTTTGTTTTTTATTTTAATCAAAAATTCAGTAAGATTCTGCGCAATCTGTAATATTAAGGATATTATAACTTGGTTGTCATTTCAACCAGTATTAGTCAGGAAATCGGATCTGCGTTCGCCTTTGTAGTTTTTCATAGAGAATATCTGTTCTCCAAAAGATTAATTTTGAAATTTATCATGGGTTTAAATTTTCAAGTTTATAATATACATTTGCTGTGGTAAGTGAAGCGAATATATATTTTTTAAACATATCAGACACTTGCAAAGACATTGATGAAACAAGCAAAGTCTTGTTCATAAATTGATGCGAAAGTTTTCTTTGATTTGATTCAAAGGAAGATTTATGGAAAGAATCCTGATCCACAGGTTATGTTTTCTGTTGTTGACTCACAAACAGAAAGATTAGTTTTTACAAAAACCAATATTAGCTGTAATTGAGACAAATTAATTTTTGAACATGACAGGGACTGAAAACCGAGTGTAAACTGTTTAAAAACATGTAAAGAGAAATAAAATTTGCCTTTAAAGTCGACAACATGACCAATACGATCCTTATTTTAATTAAAGAGATGAAATGGAGATTAACGCTTGACTGAATAAAAGGCTCAGAGCAAACAAACAAAGAATACTCTGCATCCACTTTCATGCTTTATGGCACTAACGTGTGTTAAAATCAAATTTTCTGATTGGGAGTAAATTCAATATCATTTCTGCTACAAATTGGATAGAAATTGAGATTGTGTTAGGAAGTGACCACTGCCGTTCATGTGTTAATAATAATAGTACAAATTGCCTGAAAGGTGTTCACTCAGTTATTGATGGTTATTTCGGCTCCAGTAAACATGTATTGTTCCTCCCGCAACCCGACTGTTTCATTCCCTTTTATTAATTTGTCTCACAACGTACAAAACATCTACATCATTTAAACAATGTTATTGATAGTCTGTTGATACAATATAACCTTTTATCAAGTCCGTTTTAGGAGCACGTTTGAAGAAAATCAATAAGTATTTTGTAGTCGTAAATTGTTTGAGCCGATGCATGAAAAGATTCATGTACCTCCGAAGAAGATGACCGACGGCTTGTGAAGTAGTTAACCTTTAGAAACAAAAAACTGTAAAATTTACGAAGCTACTTGCATGTGAATGTGTGCATTATAAAACTGTGTCTTTTTTGTGTAAGTGATATCGCAGATTGATGGGCGAAAATGCAACCTTCAACTCTATTGAATTTCTTTCTGAATGCGGTTGCTGATATCCTAAGGGGAGCTTGTGGTACTTAACTTGTTTAATCTTGGTGATTTGCAAAACATGATGGTGATGTAAATATGGTGTCATTATCTTAAATATCAGTTACTTCTTCCCGATATCTGTAATAATCGCTTCGTCTCGAGACCTTGTTTTTATTAAAGCTAATCGTCTGAGAAATTGTCACACTGTTTTTTTCAATCTTTTCGGTAATTATGGTTTCAATTCAATATTGTGGCAACTGGCTGCAGGCCTCTCCCCAGGATCCAGTTATTGTCAAACTTAAAAAAAAATCACAGGCTAGCAGCCGTCAAATACGACTGCCAGCCAGACAATAACTGATCTCCCACTGTGAAGAATTGTGGGTAGGCGGGAATAAAGTGTGTGCCTTGTAACTTTAAAACCTCTCATTAGAATTGAAATTATCAACTCATTCATTCACGAGTTGCTGATCTAATAAAATAAGAGTAATGGAGGAGAAATACCTGTCTGCTGTCAAAGTTTATCATTAGCATCATTATGGATAATTTTATACTTCTCAAAATCCTGGACACTTTTTGTATGTGGGTTCTCTTAATGAGCAAATTGTTTCCATTGTAAGAGAAACCTAATGATTTGATGCAATTAAATACTGTCAATTAGAAGGGTGTTACAAAAATGTGAAATAAAGTGTGGAACGGAAAGGAATCTTGAGAGAAATTCTGTCATGATAAATATGTTTCACCGCCACCGTAAGTCATTCCGGTTAATAACTTGAAATATAATAATTTTAACACACCATATTTTAGCATAACCCCAATGAGAAAAAGT